GCAAACACAAAATTCTTCCACCGACGCATCAATGCCAGAAGGAGGAAAAACCACATTCACCGGATCAAACACGTGCATGGGTGGGTGACCGAACACAAGGAAAAAGAGAAGATCATACATTCCCACTTCACTGAGATCATGGGTACAGGATGCAGTAGCAACAAAGACTTCAACTGGGAGGAGCTTCGAATAGAGACCCATGACTTGCACGACCTGGGCAACACCATCACGGAAGAGGAGGTTTGGGCGGCCATAAAGGAGATGCCTAGTGATAAGGCGCCCGGTCCGGATGGCTTCACAGGGATCTTCTTCAAGAAGTGTTGGGGCATCATCAAGCTTACGGTCATGAGAGTCATCCAGTGTTTTGACTCTCTCCACACCTCCAACCTGCATTGGTTGAATTCTGCCAATGTTGTGCTATTGCCCAAAAAGGAGGGAGCGGAAGGCATATCTGATTACAGACCTATCAGTCTCATCCACGCCATCGCAAGAATAATTGCCAAGGTCCTTTCGCTCCGGCTGGCTCCACACATGGACTGCCTTGTCTCCAACGCGCAAAGTGCATTCATAAAGAGGCGTAGCATACATGACAACTTCATGTGCGTTCGTAATTTTGCTAGGCGCTTACACAAGTGCAAGACCCCGTCTCTCCTTTTCAAGCTGGACATAAGAAAGGCTTTTGACTCCGTCAAGTGGGGCTACATGTTAGATCTCCTTCAGCGTTTGGGTTTCCCGGATAGGTTCCGGGCTTGGATTGCCGCACTCCTATCCTCGTCATCATCTCGTATTCTCTTAAATGGCATCCCCGGCCCTCCCATTAAGCATGGGAAGGGGTTCCGGCAGGGGGACCCCATTTCCCCCCTGCTTTTCGTCATCGCAATTGATCCGCTGCATAAGATTCTGGATTTGGCAACCCGGAAAGGCCTTCTTCACAAGATTCGTGGGCGGGGGCCTACGGTGAGAACCTCCCTTTATGCGGATGATGCTGCTGTTTTTCTGGCTCCTACCAAAAGGGACGTTGACAATCTTGCTTCCATATTGAGAGGCTTTGGTGAAGTGACAGGTCTATGCACCAACTTTCAGAAAAGCTCCGTGGTGCCAATTCGATGTAGTCATCTTAATCTTGGGCACACTCTTCAGAGCTTGCCGGCATCTCGTGCTATTTTTCCGGTGAAGTATCTTGGCTTGCCTCTCTCTGTTTGGCAGCTCAGAAAGGTGGATTTCCAATACCTTGAGGATAAGGCGGCGAGCAAATTGGCCACTTGGGACGGACAAAATATCACTACCATCGGCCGCACGGCACTTGTCAAATCGGTCATTTCATCCCAAGCGACCTACTCAATCACGCCTCTCATTGTGCCGCCAAGTACGCTCAACAATCTAAATAAATTGGAGAGGTCGTTCCTATGGTCCGGTGCGGATAAGACAACGGGAGCCAAGTGCAAAGTCAATTGGAAAATAGTTTGTACGCCAAAGGAATATGGTGGCCTGGGGGTACTCAACACCGAAAAATTTTCGCGGGCTTTACGTCTTCGTTGGCTATGGTATGAATGGAAGGAGCCCCACAAGCCTTGGGTGGGGTTTGGTAACCCTTGCACCGCCGAGGACCTCGAGTTTTTCTATGCCTCTACAACTATCACTGTGGGTGACGGTGCAAAAACACCGTTCTGGGACTCACCTTGGCTATTTGGGCGGAAGCCCATGGATATTGCTCCATTAATCTATGAGGCTTCAAGAAGAAAGAATTGGAAGGTGCGTGAAGCCCTCTATGAGAATGCATGGATTCTCAAAATCAATCCAAACACTGTTATCTCCATTCGCCACATTAGCGAATTCTTCACTCTTTGGATGCTTGTGCATGACTTCCCTCTTGACGACCAAGCCGAAGACGACATTACTTGGAAGCACGCGAACGATGGGATCTACTCGGCGGCCACTGCGTACAGGGCTCTGTTCCTTGGATTGACTCTCTCTCCCATGGACCGTATGGTTTGGAAGGCTTGGGCACCCCCTAAGGTAAAATTCTTTGCGTGGCTTGCCCTGCAAGACCGAATTTGGACCGCCGATCGATTGGAGAAGCGTGGTTGGGTCAATTGTGGTCTTTGTCCACTATGCAAGAGAGAGCAAGAAACGGGGCCACACCTCTTCTTCAAGTGTCGTTACACTCTTAGGCTTTGGAGATCTATCATCGAGAAGCTTGGGCTACCTCACGTCAGCATTCCCGATTGGCATCTTGATGAATCTGTCAAGGAGTGGTGGGTCAAGCGTACCGATGACCGAAACCCGAATTGGCATGCCATGTCCTCTCTCGTCATGCTCACCTCTTGGACCATTTGGAACGAGCGAAATGCTAGGGTATTTCGGCAAAAATTTGCGCCGCCGCCTATTCTCCTCCAAACCATCATTGCTGAGGCAAAGTTATGGGTTACTGCCGGCGCCAAGAAGCTAGGGACTATCATTGTATGTGAGTAATTGCCATGTCATTTGTATGGGGTGTCCTGTAAAACTCTAAACTCTATCCTCTCCTTATTTAATAGATGAGGCAAATCTTATGCCTCCGTTTCGAAAAAAAAATAGTAGTGAAGTTGGAAAAGTTACTGGTGCCGTGTAGAAGAGAAGCCTTCTGTATTTTCTTCATCGCTGACTTCAATGTACTGTACTGTACGATATGACACGGCAGTACCGCATCTTGACATCTCTTTCTTTGCTCCATCTCCATCCTTACATCCACAACATGTCCCAAATTTTCATTACCAGCATATATAAGTTTGACGCTACCACATAATTCACATGATCAATCAAACCCGCCGAACAATGCCAATGCAAACCCCCTCTCTCCTCAGTTTTAACTCAAATTTACAACTAAAGATACACCCTGCAGATCACCGTTCAGATGTTCAGCCAGTAGGCTGCGCCAACACACATGTGAAAGTTGTTGTGTACGAAAAAGGCTCCCAGTTTTCAGAAATGCGTATTCCAAGCCTTGCTTTCAGTGCTGATTTTTTATCCAGCCTAAAAATAACTAATCTCTCAACTGTCGTGTCATTCGAGGTTGTTGGTCTAGCAGCACCGCGAAATCTAGTTTTGTAGGTCAGGTGTTCATTTAACAACAACTGCTTGCAGAGACCCATCCCTCCCATTGGCAAGCTGGATATGTCGAATCTCTGGGCCACTATACCCCTACCTGATTAAGTGGTCAGGAATTCCCAGGCTGCTACTACTGGGATAGTATTGGGCATGTCTTTGTCGCGAGAATAAATTAATACCAGTAGTAGAGATGTGTAAAACAGCGACATAAACGATAGACACGCAAAAGCCTTGCATATAATGTTTTTAACATCAACTTTGATGGGCCGTCTCTTTCAGCGCTCTGTGGTGTACGCCCACAGGATAAAAACAACAATATGTTCACCAACCGATGGACCAACTTACAAGCTATCGTTCCATTGTGTTGCCCTCCCGTAGACGATAGCTTGACTAACCATGGAAGTACCGCGCCATGGGTGGCCAATCTTTTGTTTTTTGCGGGTGCCATGGGTGACCAACTCGATGACTAACCTGAACACTGCGGTTTTTTATGAACTATACTAGTTGGTTCCAAAGAAACACTGGTTTTTGCGACGTGATAAGTGACACTGTTGGGTTTGCATTTGAAACACACACTTTCTTAGGATCATGATTTTGTAATTATCAAAAGATATACCACAGAAGGAAAATAGGCAGAGCTGAATTTTGGAGAAAGTGCCAAACAAACCAAACCGCAAAGTTGTAAAAACTGTACGGCTTGGTACAACAGCTCAATGGCTGTGACAGTTTGTTCAGAGCAGGTGCATCTATCCTCACTCTTTCAGGTTGATCTTTAACTGGTAGCTAGGAAGAGCTGATTCGCTGACACAGCGTAGCAGTTGATATGATCAGCCATCCAACACAGCCTACACTGGAGTCGGCAAAGGCACATTGCCTGCCACCATTTTTCACTGACATTGAGAGTGCCCAATCAAGTTCTATGCTTGGACCATCTCTAAATCCCAAGAAATCATGATGCAAGATGTCAGCTTCTTCGTGGAGCATCTATGGATTAGGGGCAAATCCAGTGCTCCAGTGCACTTGTGTAGGACTTTATCAACCCAGTGATGCAGCTTTTGACTACTTTTTCGCAGAAGATCAACTTACAGGAGATGCATCTACACAAAGGTACTCCCTCCGTCCCATAAGCCATAATATAAGACGTTGTTACATCTAGTATGTGAGCATATTAGATGTAATAACATCTTATATTATGAGACGGAGGGAGTAATAAATAAAGGCAACTACACTGGTTGTTAATCTGTCTGCTAAAAGTGAGCTACATAAGAAATAGTCGCATACTCCAGGATCACAAATTGTATGGCTCTCGTGTTGTTCTTGGTCTAGATGTGAGGGCCCTGATGCCGGTCGCTTGGTGAGGACGGACACGTCTTTCTTCATATATATTTTTTCATATTTTCTTAGCCAGGATCTCGTTTATTGGCAAGTGGAGAGGGTCGCTTTTCACCTCTGGCCAAATGGCTGTATATCATCTTCTTATAAAAACATGTGCAATGCTTTTGTGCGTCTGAGGAAAGAATTGGCCACATACAAAAAATAAACCACTGAATTATCTGGCCCTTTGGATGTGAGGTTATCAATCATTAATTATGATAGCAACATCAAGATAGGCATCACCTCAGACTACTAATCAACGATGATAGATATGTATACTAAGACGATCTTCAAGATGTTGAAAGACAGGCGTGCTGACAGTTGACATATATATGTCTAATAGCAAGACTCCTCCACCAGACCGACAGTCCAATTTGACCAATAATAACCTACCCTTTTGCATCTTTTGCAGAAGACTAAGAAGTATCAAATTCCTGAATTTGCATAGAAACTTGCATAACTGTAATGCTAGCTAGTAATAGCAAATAACATTCATAATTATACCTCAAGCAAATCTCATAGTAGTGGAGTTGGAAAAGTTACTGGTGCTGTGCAGTAGAGAAGCTTTCTGCATTTTCTTCACCATTGACTTCAATGTAAGACAGGGCAGTACTGCATCTTAACGTCTCTTTCCTCACACCCATCTCCACCCTTACATCCACAACACGTCCCCAGTTCTCATTAGCAGCATATAAGTTTGACGCAAGCACATAATTCCCCTCATGGCCAGGCTCCATGTCGATCACATGATCCATCACCTTCCTCGCTAAATTCATATCTCCATGATCACGGCATGCTCCGGTCAATACACGCCATATTACAGGATCAGGCTTCACAGGCATGGCCAGGACAAACTCAAACGCCTCGTCCAACATGCCAGATCTGCACAACAGGTCCACCATGCTTCCATAGTGCTCCATCCATGGTGTGATGTGATAGTCTACGACCATGGACTTGAACAACCGGCGCCCTTCACTCACTAGCCTGGAGTGGCAACAAGCATTGATCACGCTTAAGAAGATAACCTCGTCAGGCCAGAACCCTTGTCTAAGCATCTGCGAAAACCGAACAAGGGCAGCCACCCCATGCCCATGCACAGCAAGTGCCTGTATCATGGCTGTCCATGAGACCACAGTCCTCACACTCATCGAGTCAAATATCTGACATGACTTCTTCACCCTCCCCATCTTACCATGCATATGGATGAGCGAATTAGCGATACGGGTGTTCTCCAAGAAGCCATTCTCGCATGCATATTCCTCCACCCACTCGCCCAACTCCGACGTACAATCCAATTTTGTGCACGCCGAGATGACTGCAAGCAGGGTGACCTCATCGACCTTGACAACGGCAAGCCTCATCTCGTTGAACACCTCCAGCGCCTCTGCTGGGCGACTGTTCTCGCAGCAGGCATTGATCATGCAGGTCCAAGAAACCACGCTCTTATTCCCCATACCGGCGAACACCGTGCTCGCTTCAGCAAACCGCCCGCATCTCCCGTACATGCTTACCAGCGCATTGAGAACGCGCAAATCAAGAACAGGGATATTCCTGACGGCATATCCGTGGAGCTCTCTCCCGTGCACCAGACTCCTCAGCTGCGCGCACGCAGACAGGAGGCTCGTGACGGAGAGGTTGTTGGGCCGGGAGCCCTCGCCCACCATGGCGGACGCAGCGAGCAGGGCGTGGTGGGGTTGACGGGAGCGCGCGCAGGCGGAGACGAGGGTGTTCCATAGAGGGATGTCCCGGCGGGGGGTTTGGTCGAACAGCTGGCGCGCGGAGGCCAGGCGGCCGGAGGCTGCGTAAGACTTGAGGAAGGACGAGCAGAGGTGGAGACAGGAGGGGAGAAACCCGAGCTTTAGGGCGTGCGCGTGGAGCTGGGCGGCGGAGGCGGCGGAGAGGGCGCCGAGGATGGCCGCGGCGTCGCGCAAGGTGGTGGCGCTGGCGCTCATGGGTCATGGCGGCAGCGGCACACCCGTGGCCGTGGGCATTTGATTTGGGTGCTATTGGGTAAATGACAAGAAAGCCCCTGGGCGCTTCCACAATTTGATATAGGGTTAGTTCTTTTGGGCAATTCTCTCAGAATTGACCCCCTCCCCACCTTCTCCCAGAATTGTCACTTCATCGTTTTTTACAATGCTTAACTAGTTAATGTCTAATTAGGTAGGAATTATAAAAAAAATGGAATGACAATTCTGGTAGAAGCTGAAGAGGGGGTCAATTCTAGAAGAATTGCCCAAAAGAACTGGCTCATAGTAGCACATGTCATGGGTGTTATTAATTGCCATTCTAAAAGTATCTATAGTGTGTGTGTTTTCGAGAAGGTATCTATAGTAGTTGACAATGTTATCTTAAACTCGTCACGTAATTTGGCGTAAAAGATAATATAAAATTATGTACACATGTTATCTTTTAGTCTTATCTCTGATAACTTTAAATTTCTGTAATGAGAGATATTATTGTTAAAAGATCATCTTTTAATTAAAAGAAGACAAACATGTTCTTATGGTTTCTCTTTTGGCAACTGCTAGGCGTCGGCGCACCGGCCGAAATTTCGGCCGGTCCGCCCCCAGTCGTAGGATTAGGCCACAACCAACCGTTAATTTTTCCACATCATTGCCTCTCCTTTCGCATCTGGCTCTGCGTTGACCAGCAATTCCCATCCATGGCGGACTCCGCGCTCATCGCTGCCGGTGCTCGTCCTTGGCTTCCTGTGCTTACCGGCCAACAGCGCACCTGTGCTCGTCGCCCCGGCCGCCCGCGCTCGCCGGCCTACAGAGCTCCGTCGCGCCGACGCTAGACTAGTTCCAGCAATTAAAAATGCCACATGTAGCAAATTTATGCACCAGTTGTAGCATTTTTCCACCTTGGTTGTAGCTCCGTTGCGCCAACGTCGTAGCCGACAGTCGACTAGTTCCAGCAAAAAATGATGCTGGATGTAGCAAAAAAAATTGCTAGTTCCAACAAAAATCAAAGCCGGAGCAGAATTGGAGCCGGTTCCGGCAAAACAAAAATATAGTGGTAACAAAAAAGATTGTTGGTTCCAGCACAAATCGAAGTCGGTGGTAGCAAAATTGGGGCTAGTCCAGCACTACTGAGATAGTAGTAGCAACACAGGTGATAATTCCAGCAAAAACAAAGCCATTGTAGCAAAAAATTGGGCTGGTTCCAGCAAAATCTGAAGATGGTGGTAGCAAAATTGGGGCTGGTTGCAGAAACAAACACACTCATTCTAGCAAAAAAATACCACCATCTCCGTCGCCGGTCACCGTGAGCGGTTGTTCCAGCACCTTCAACCCGTGGTTGTAGCCTTCCTCATGGCCGGTCCCAGCATCTGACCGTCATCGAATGTAGCACGCCGTGGCCGCGAACTCCCCTTGATGTGCTCGATGGTGGACTACCGCAGACTGAGCTCGCTCTCCTTGGAATCCATGGCAGACTGCTGCATGAGAGGAGAGACGGAGACACAAAAGCTTGATATGTGGGGATTAATGGCGGATTCCCCGTGGGGAAGAGAGATGAGGCAGAAAGGGAAGCGGCGATGCCTTTGAGCGATGTGGATAAGGTCTGGGTGGACGAGATGCTTCAGGCAATGCGATTAGGTATGGATGCCTGGTCCTACTAGCTTTTTGTATCGCGAGTGACGCGGACCGGCGGAAGCTTACGCCGGTCGTCCGTTTATAAACGTTTCCCTTCTGTTTTCTCTACTTTAACATTTATCCCACGTGATGCTCCTAATATACCATCGTTGTACATGCCCTCAGTTTGCTCTCGCTTTTTCTTAAAGGGGTGTATTATATTAATTTAGCAACATAGGGTCACTACAATTGCCGTTGGCGATGCGGTTGATCTTCGGGTAGAGGTCCTCGTAGGTGACCACGGGGATGCGGTCCTTGAACAACTCGTGGTCTGTGCACCTCATGTCCTGCCATCTTCGCCAGTACTCTGTGATGCAATTTGAAGGCCAATCAATTATACATATCTTTGTCTCTGACTTTGAGGACGTGGAGCTTATTCTACTTGTCAAGTCTAGATAAATACACACACGAAAACATTGGACATGAATCAATGGGTTGAGTTATGCACATATCAGCAGGGGGCATCGCTCCCCTAGCCCAGGAAAAAGCATCGAGGATTATATTTAGGGTTTAGGGTCTTATGAGGCGTGCTCTTATGTTTCCGTAACTTTTTGGCATGAATCCGAAAGCACCTATCATCCTTAGAGATACTAAGCTCCCTAGAAAAGCGGAGCTCTGGTGCATCGGGGCTATATTTAGCATTCGTGGCCCCATATGGGTGGATGCTTGGTCGTTTGTGTTGGGGATCGTTGCAGAAATTAAAATTTTCTACGCATCACCAAGATCAATCTATGAAGAGACTAGCAATGAGAGATAGGGGAGTGTATCTTCATACCCTTAAAGATCGCGATGCGGAAGCATTGCAAGAACGCGGTTGGAGGATTCATACACGCAGCGATTCAGATCGCGGTTGATTCCGATCTAAGCGCCGAACAACGGCGCCTCCGCGTTCAACACACGTGCAGCCCGGTGACAACTCCCGCGCCTTGATCCAGCAAGGAGGAGGGAGAGATTGGGGAAGACAACTCCAGCAGCAGCACGACGGCGTGGTGGTGGTGGAGCAGGGTGGTTTCCAGCAGGTCTTCGCCAAGCACTACGAAGGATGAGGATGTGGAGAGGTAGGGCTGCGCCGAGGGAGAGAGAGACTCGTGTCCTTGGCAGCCCCCAAACCCCCCACTACATATAGGAGGAGGGGAGGTGGCTGCGCCCCCTCTAGGGTTCCCACCCTAGGGGGTGCGGCAGCCCTAGATGGGATTGGAGGGGCGGCCAAGAGGGGGAGAGGGGGCGCGCCCTAGGGTGGGCCTTTAGGCCCATCTGCGCCTAGGGTTTCCACCCTCTCCTCCTAGTTGCGCCTTCTACCTTGGTGGGAGGCGCACCAGCCCACTCAGGGGCTGGTCCCTTCCCACTCTTGGCCCATGCAAGCCTCCGTGGCTGGTGGGGCCCTCTCGGTGGACCCCCGGAACCCTTCCGGTGGTCCCGGTACAATACCGTTGACACCCGAAATACTTCCGGTGGACAAAACCTCACTTCCTATATATAATTCTTTACCTCTGGACCATTCTGGAACTCCTCGTGACATACGGGATCTTATCCGGGACTCCGAACAACATTCGGTAACCACGTACAAACTTTCCCTATAACCCTAGCATCATCGAACCTTAAGTGTGTAGACCCTACGGGTTCGGGAGGCATGTAGACATGACCGAGACATCTCTCCGATCAATAACCAACAGCTGGATCTGGATACCCATGTTGGCTCCCACATGTTCCACGATGATCTCATCAGATGAACCACGATGTCGAGAATTCAATCAATCCCGTATACAATTCCCTTTGTCAATCGGTACGTTACTTGCCCGAGATTCGATCGTAAGTATCTCAATACCTCATTCAATCTTATTACCGGCAAGTCACTTTACTCGTTCTGTAATGCATGATCCCGTGACTAACTGCTTAGACACATTGAGCTCATTATGATGATGCATTACCGAGTGGGCCTAGAGATACCTCTCCGTCATACCGAGTGACAAATCCCAGTCTCGATTCGTGCCAACCCAACAGACACTTTTGGAGATACCCGCAGTGCACCTTTATATCCACCCAGTTATGTTGTGACGTTTGGCACACCCAAAGCATTCCTACAGTATCCGGGAGTTGCACAATCTCATGGTCTAAGGAAAAGATACTTGACATTAGAAAAGCTTTAGCAGACGAACTACACGATCTTGTGCTATGCTTAGGATTGGGTCTTGTCCATTACATCTTTCTCCTAATGATGTCAAATAACCTCTTCTCACCGGCAAGTTTGAAATCATAATTGAGCTCTTTAATAGCCCAATAAGCCTTATGTTCTAGTTCGATAGGTAAGTGACATGCTTTTCCATAAACTATTTTATACGGAGAAATACCCATAGGATTTTTATATGCAGTTCTATAGGCCCATAATGCATCATCAAGTTTCTTGGACCAATTCTTTCTAGATCTATTAAAAGTCTTTTGCAAAATTAATTTGAGTTCTCTATTACTCAATTCTACTTGACCACTAGACTGTGGGTGATAAGGGGATGCAATTCTATGATTAACATCATACTTAGCAAGCATTTTACGGAAAGCGCCATGAATAAAATGTGAACCACCATCAGTCATTAAATATCTAGGGACTCCAAACCTCGGAAAAATAACTTCTTTAAGCATCTTAATAGAGGTGTTATGATCAGCACTACTAGTTGGGATAGTTTCTACCCACTTAGTAACGTAATCAACAGTAACTAAAATATGTGTATACCCATTAGAGGCAGGAAAAGGTCCCATATAATCAAAGCCCCAAACATCAAATGGTTCAATAACAAGTGAATAATTCATAGGAATTTCTTGACGTCTACTAATATTACCAATTCTTTGACATTCATCACAAGATACAACAAACTTACGGGCATCCTTGAAGAGAGTAGGCCAATAAAAACCGGATTGCAATACCTTATGTGCAGTTCTATCTCCAGCGTGGTGTCCTCCATAAGCTTCGAAGTGACACTTGCGTAGGATCTGTTTTTGTTCATGATCAGGTACACAACGTCTAATAACACCATCTACTCCTTTATAAAGGTGTGGGTCATCCCAGATGTAATGTCATAAATCATAGAAAAACTTTTTCTTTTGCTGGTATGTGAAACTAGGTGGTATAAACTTAGCAACAATGTAATTAGCATAATCAGCATACCATGGAGCAGGGTGAGAAGCGTTTATGACATTTAATTGTTCATCAGGAAAGCTATCATCAATAGGTAGTGGGTTATCAAGAACATTTTCCAACCTAGACAAGTTATCTGCAACGGGGTTCTCAGCTCCCTTTCTATCAATAATATGCAAATCAAATT